TCAGAATGAAAGCAACTCTGTATTTGTGATATTGTGACCCAGGGCCTTAGTGCATGCAAGACAATGATTCTACCAACTAAGCTACATAAGCAGCCCAGGAAAGCAACTTTGAAATGACTGATTGCTTTTTTTGTTTCTGCTTTCTTTAGTTCTTCTCTATGAAACCAGTCTCCTTGTTCTACTTCGTAAATTCAAGTATTGCCTGATTCTAGAATTGAAAATATGGCCAATTAAGTCMTTTAAACTAAATTGTTGTAATTTTTGTCCTTTGACAGGTGTTTCCAAAGGTTATTGGTTTTATTTCATATGTTTTAATTTTTTTTCCAGATTTTAATCTTACAAAGGTAAATTAAGTTCATTTTGGTCCAACATAGCATTTAACATGAATTTTCACATACTCTCTGCAGATTATTTCCTTTGCATTATTTCAGAGAATGATCTTTTTTATTAGTGGTCGAATTACAATCTAGTCAATATTATAGATTGGTTTAGAACTCTTCCTTATCTGAAAAATCAGATATATCTACTAMAGAATGTTGTTTAAGATAAACAAGGCATTGTAAGTCCATACTTAACATAGCACCTAGTATATACCATAGTAATTTTCCTATTGGTCATTTTATTGGTGGTGAAGCTAGACTTTTGGGGAAAAAAATTACTTTTTGTTTTTCTCAAATATTTGTTACCAATCTACCTAGAAATCATCAAGGAGCTACTATTTGAGTAGTAGATGCAATCAACAGTTAAATAATGTTTACTATAATATCAAATTTAGAGTGAGAGTTATGAAATGGATTAAAGAAAAATGAAGCAGAGTAAGGGGATGCTAATTTAAACAGGGTGGTCAAGGAAGACATGTCCCTCTAGAGATGACACACAGACCTGAAAGAAATGAGGGAAGGAATTATGTGACTGTGTCATTCATTACRTGCATGAGTGCTCCTCATGGGGCTTATTAACTGCATCCTTTGGGTTCTTAGTCACACTTCTTTATATGGCTGCAGAACTATTTTTATTTCTATGACTTAGTATACCAACCGGATTTTACAATCCAGGAAGGAAGTGCCTATGCTTCCTGTGTCCTTTAAATATCCTTCAATGAGTACTTCTTGGATATAAGGGAACCTGGAATGAGAAGTATTTTGAAAAGAAACAGGCATTGGAAGAAAGCATACCATATGAAGAAAGCAGCYACAGCGTGGTGAAAGAACAAATCTTGGAATTAAGAAAATTGGGTTTGGATTCCAGCTCACCAGTTTCTTGTATGGACTTGAAGTCTGTCTCTTAACATTAATTACTGAATCTATTTACCTATCTGTGAAATGGAAATAGTAGTATTAATTCATAAATTGTTGAAATAGTCAAATGAAGTAATCAGTATGAAAAACACTTGGAATATTATAGAAAATCAATGTTAGTCGAGTTTTGAGTATGGAAGCTTGGAATATCCTTAAAGATAATAGGCTTGGGTAACAGAAATAAGAATTTTAGTAAATATAATATTTCATCATGCTAATGATAGGTAACATTGAGTGTTTTCTGTATTCTAAGAACTATTTTAAGCATGCCACATGAATTAACTCAATTTCTTGCCCTAACCATACAAGATAAAAAATATCAGTTTTCCCATCTTACTAATGAGAAAGATGAGGCACAAGAAGGCTAAATAATCTGCTTATGGTTACACAATGAGTAGTAGAGTTGGGATCAAGATAGTTTGACACCAGTGCTCATGTTCTTTCAACTACACAAGACTATTTATGCTCTTAGAAGTCATTAGCTTAAGCTTTTCCTAAAGAAAAATCATTATAGAAAATGACATTAACAATTAAAAAAGAGTATAAATTAAAGTGCAGGTATAACCCAGTTTTAAAAAGTAAGATTGAAACATGTTAACCAGGAGCTAGTTTAGACTTTATCTAAAGTTAGCACCCAACATTACAATATAAAAATGATTATTTTATTATGCAATTTCACATCTTTTGTCTCAAAAATTACTTATTTTAAGAAAAAATGGTTGCTTTGTATTGATTAGAGATTTTAAAAATTACCTAATCGGTAGTAACTTTGGATAGATCATGGCAGAAATGATCAGTTTCAACCACAGTTGAAAGCCCAGCAAAACTACGATTTTGATTACCTAGAAAACTGAATAAAATTCCAATAATAGTTAATTATATAACAAAAGCAAATGATGTGTTCTATCTAATTATTTAAATCTTTTGCCCTGAGTTAAATCTATAAAGACRAGTAACATAGCAGCTTGAGGAATACATTATACAGAGAAAAGATCATGAGGAAAGATCATTATTTACAAATACTTAACAATATCCAATTATTTCAGGCTTATAAGTAGTTATGGTAAGGCTAGGTTGGGCCATATGTGTAAAGAAAATAACTCAATCACATACCATATCTCATTTTACAAATCTAATATTTTAATTCAATGTTTTTTTTTTCTTTAAATGCCTAAGCATGAATGTGGTACTAATACATGCATTTTGGGGAATTAATAGAGAAATAAAATATAAAGTTTACCTATGTATATTTAAGATTAACATGGAGCATATTAATCCATAGATTAACATGGACTATGTGGCACACTTATAGTCCCAGTTATCTTGCAGAATGAGGCAAGAGGATCACTTGAGCCTAGGAGTGTGAGACCAGCCTGGGAAACACAGTGAGACCCTACTCACAAACAAAAACAAAACAAGACAAAAAGCAAAAATGAAACTAATCAACCACATACAACCTACATAAAAATCTAATCATCTGGGGCTGGGGATGTGGCTCAAGTGGTAGCGCGCTCGCCTGGCATGTGTGCGGCCCGGGTTGGATCCTCAGCACCATGTACAAATAAAGATGTTGTGTCCGCTGAAAACTAAAAAATAAATATTAAAATTCTCTCTTTCTCTCTAAAAAAAAAAAAAAAAACAATAAAAAAACTATTCATCTAATCTTTGAAACAGTTGGGTTTCAATATCAGTATTAGGCAAAGACATGTGGTATAAATATTAATGTGTGACAAAACACACAACAAAAGCATATACAAAATGGAGACAAATTAATCTGTAAATAATGGATGCATATGTAAATATCATTAAGTATGAGTCTTCATTGACTAGAGTAGGGAGTTTCTGATCAAAAGAAAACAAAAAAAAAAAAAAAAAAGGAAGCTATTTTTTAAAAAGAGTTTTAAGAACATCATGGCCTTCAGTCCTATGTGGGTATTTCCTTGCCAATCTGGTTTACTTTTTGCTCTGCTATCTAGTAGCTACATGAAAATAGTACCTCTATGCTACCTCTTCAAAAAAGTTAACCAATAACTTTTGACCAGCAGAAAATATTAATAGGATTAACTGTGATTACTTTGGATGGTGTAAGTAATAATTTCTTATTTATTGGTTAATTTTTTAATAATCTTATCTCCTTTAGAACCTACTGGAGCTAAGATGCCTAGACAACAGCTTTCATTAATCACCTATGCCAACCAGGTAAACTAAAACATATGAGCTGGCCATGACTTCGAGTTCTTATATAGCCTCAATTATGTGTTAGTCATCCCAAGCACCCATTATGTACTCAATAATAGGTATGACACAGCTCTGGACATCAGCAGCACCATAAGGAGTCAGACACAGGCAGCCTGTTTATACTTCTTTTCCTGGTGTTAACATTCTTAAGAAACGTGGGAGACAGCAATGAGGTCGTGTCTTCCTCATTCGAACCTTATAGTAGTAGTAGTCTACTAGATTTCTTCACCTTTGTTGTATTAATAATCAGACTTCAGAATAACGCTGCCTTGAGAAATGACAGCACTGTATCTTAGAAGGAAGGAAAATGTAGCATGCCAGACCAGGGACAGACTTCTAATTGCCAGTGATTCTTGTGAATTTCCTGAATATTAAAGCACCTATTGAGGTCAGCTACAGTCGTAAAGAGAAAAAATGATCTTGAAACTTTTAAAATTGCATTACTGCACATCATAATGTAACAAAGTAAACAACAACAACAAAACATTGTTTAAAAAAACAATAGCAGAGAAAAGCAGCTGATCTTTAGGAAGGCAGTCGGTTGCTTATTATGAAGTATTTACAGAGTCCGATGCATTTTCAAAGCTGGTTACAGTCATTACCACAGCACACCCTTGTGAGGTAAGTGTATTATCACCTTCGGTTCATAAATGAAAAGAAGTACAGAATGATTAAGTCACTCCCTAAGGAGAATGAGTCAACGTCAAGAGTCATAGTTGACCCGGCTTAACGACTCCTGACGGTCAGTCCAGGGCTTAGTCAGCGGAGCCCAGAGTGGCTTCCCTGGCTGGCACCTGGACTTAGGCTATTTCTGTTCACGTTAAATCAGAATATTGGAACCGGCTGGACAGAACTTCCAAATAAYCTTTACTTCCAGAAGATTTATCCCTGAGATCTTAATCTCAGGATTTGGAACAGAAAAAACTGTCGGGTGCACTCCCCCTCCCCCCCAGCAGCGGCGAGTGGACACTGCGGGCGGTTCCGCCGATCCCTTTTCGCAGTGATGGCAACAAGTGGTCACCAGCGCTAGCGGAGCCAGGGGACGGATGATTGCTTAAACGACTCTCCATCGCCGCCTCTTTYTGAAACTAAAGAGAAAATGGTGGGAGGTCAAAAGAAAACTAAATAAACGCACAAGCAACTTGTCCTAGGACCTCAACTAAGCAAATGAAGCCTAATTGTGTGTGCTGAGCCTGCAGTTCCCAACCTCCTGGGGAAGATGGGAGGATGGGGCGACAAAGGGTACATTAGGCATGCCAAGCAGTAAGTACGACGGCAACTATCCAGGCGGAAGAGCAGAGGACTGAAATTCACTCCACAGCACGCGAGTGCCGAACCCGCTGAACGACCACGTGATCAGTCCCTTTTTTTWAAAAAAAAAAGTCTGCCTTAAAAAAAAGAGAGCGAGCGAGCGAGACAGAGACAGAGACTCCACTTCCCAGAAGCCTCTTGTTACACACGCAGCCGCAGTCTTGCGCAGGCGCCGCCAGGGCCAAACGGACACGTCCGTCACGTGGACAGTAACTGGCCAATCCCGTTTGAATCTCATTTTTTTCCTCTCACCCCCCCTTCAGGAGCGGTTGTGCGATCAGATCGATCTAAGATGGCGACTGTGGAACCGGTGAGTATTGCCTTTGGCCCCCACCCCCACGGGTCCCCGCGCTCKGTCTCCCTCCGGACTGAGGGACCCCGCGGGACTGCGTTCCCGGCGCGCACGCTATCCCTTGCCGCCCCCTCCCCCTCTTCTTGGGCCTGACCTTCCGCGGGCAACTGGGGGTGCCCTGGAGGCTGACCGAGGCGGCGTGTAGCGCACACGTTCTGGTGGGGGCCCGAGAACTGGGGGAGCTGGTGGGGGAGGGGCGGCGTGGCGCCTCCTGCGGAGCCGCGCGTTGTCCACCGGGGTGTAGGATGACGGAGGCTCGGGGCTAGGTGTGTGGGATTGTCTTCGTGATAGAAGGGCGCGGGGCCGGCTCGGAGCGGGCACTGTGATCCGCAAGGAGGGTGGGCGGCGAGCCGATCTGGAATGAGATGGAGGAGGGATCCTCGGGGTAGCTTTTCCATCTCCCTCCCTCCTTCCAGCGCGCCAGTCCAGGGGCTCGGGTGCCGGGCGCGCGAGGGTCTTCTTTAGACCGGTGGGCTGGGAAGCCGGTGGGCGCGCGGCGCGAGAGGGTGGGATAGGCGGGAGTGGAGCCGCGGCACGCGCGGAGAAGCTTCGATCTCGCCGAGGGGAGACGAGAGGGTCGAGCGCATGTTACTCCAGCGCATCGGAGAGTTGCCGGGGTTGGCGGCTGGGGAGGCGAAAAAGGTTTGGGATGGGGAGGAAACCCCGGTGTCGCGTGGTTAAGCTCTCTCGAGTAGAATGAGGGTGGTGGTGGTGGTGAGAAGGGGGATCACATTGTCCTCGCCCCTCCATGCTTGGGACTGGGCTGTCATGGAGGAGGGAAGGGGGAGGAGCGAGGCCTACTGATCGCTGCCACTGAGCGCTGCTGCCGGTCGGCTCGCCGGCCGGACCTGCTGCATTTCACACGCGCCTGTCTTCCATTCATTCATCCTTTCCGCGCAGTGCGCACGCCTCAGAGAATGCGATCGCGTCTAGATCCATCTGTTCTTCCGTGTCTTCATCGCCTGGAAGATTTCTGAGACACGGTTTATTGGAAGTAGAACTTAACTTTTAAGAGTGCTTTTCCATTTGATTTTTTTCTTTTCATGCTACAAGCTTTCCTCTCCATATAGGCACCATTTTAAACTTTCTTAAAGCAAGTTAATCTCAGGCCAGAAAGTTKGTAGTTAACCCTAAGGCAGAAGGTATTTTTGTCATAGTTTGAGTTTGTCGACACTGGCTCACTGAGACTTCTGGGCCTCTCTTGCCTTTTACGGATTGTCACACATATGTGATAATGTCTCAGGTGCATAATGGAGTATATTAGCAACCAGAAAACATTTGACGTTATGGAACCTGTTGCAGATTTTCCTTGCCAGGTATTTTTGTGAATCTGTACATGATAATTTGTGATTTTGGCAATAGTCTACCAATATGCTTTGACTTTTAAAAAGACTTATTTAAAAAACTTTGAAAAAATTATCCCATAGACCAGTAGCTTTTTTATATATTACATTGATGCAAACTGTCCTTGTTTGTTGCCAGAATTTAAGGCAGTTTTTCTGTTTCTTTGCTTGTTATTTATTGGCACCAGTTTTCATTTATGTTTCTGGGAATTAATTGACTGCAAACCTCTCTTAAGTAGCTAATAAAATTAGCTGATTTTAGAGCATTAAACTTTATATAACAAYGAAGTATAAATATGTAAAATTTAAAACGCCTTTTAAGAGATTCTGATGTCCACTTTTGACAAGATCTGCTCCAAGCTACTATACTAGTGTTGGGGAAGAAAGGTTACAGTGGTAATGGAGGCAAGCTTTAAAAATCTTTAAATGATAAAACAGTAATGTGTTCGTAAAGTTTCATTAGTACCTTTTAGGTCCTTCAGATTTTGTGAAGCTGTTCAGGTTTGTTTCAGCACAAACTATTAACTCAAGTGGTGAAGGACGATTTTGAGTTAGTAAATGTTTATAGTCCCTGGTATGTTTAGGGTTGTGTACCAAAGGATACAAAGTTAATACAAAATGTGATTCTATACCTTGTTCATTTTAAACTCTTAAGATTAATTCCCAGTGTTGTGATCACTGATACAGTGTTCTAGTCCTGGCCCAGAAAGATTTGGATAGTGTGTTTAAATTTAGAAAGAGGAATTAAAAAAAAAAAAATAGGGAGATGAACAACCCAAGAACTTAAAATGTAGAAACCTAGATTGAAACTATAGTAGTTTGGGGTTATATGTAAAATAGTATTGAAGTGTGCATTTTTTTTTACTACTTTTTATGTACCCTTGTCCACAGGCTAATGATGTAGTATTTCTTTTGACAGTTTCATTATTTATTTTTGGCACCAGAGCTTGAACCCAGGGCCTCCTGTATGATACTCATACACTCTACCAATGATCTGTACCCCTGGTCTTGGATTTTTTTTTTAAATTTTTTTTTTAGATGAGGCAGTGTCCCCAGGCCATCTTACCTCCTTTTTTAGTTGTAGCTGGACACAGTACTTTTTTWATGTAGTGCTGAGGAGCCAACTCCTTGCCTCACATACGCTAGGCAAGAGTTCTACCACTGAGCTACAACCCCAACCTGGATTTTTTTTTTTTTTTTAAAGCAACTGATTAATACTGTGTTGCAGTTGAGGTAATATTGCTGACAAAAAAATCATATTTCATTGGTACTTCAGCTAACGTGTCATTAATGCCTTTTTTTTTTTTTTTTAAACTGCATAATAAGCATTTAGAGAGAGCCATGGGCTTTTCCCCCTTATCTCACCTTTCATAGACATTTGGTAGTTTTTGTCAGTGGAAATTACATACAATATTAGTCATTTTAAGTCCTTGTAAGGTTTTAATTGTGTGTATGGGTTTAGTTACATTAAGGTAGGGTTTATAAATATTAAAGTGRCAAGAAACTTGAAAGAGAAAATTAAAGGAAGCATTTTACTTTTTTACAGGTGATGTGACAGAATTTTTAATATTGGACAAACAGTACTCTTCTGTCAATCCTATGGGCATTTGAATTGTGGCTAGGTCAGAATTAGACTTGGTATTACTTAAGATGGTAAGGCAGTGTCCCCAGGCCATCTTACCTCCAGTGGCTCATCTTTCTTTGTAGCTTTATCTTCATTCTGCATTCTTTATTATCTCCCTCCTTTTTCACCTTGTATTTGTTTTTAAGGTAAGATAAATTTTGATTTCTTCAGTTAACTGAAGGCATGTAATTTTACTTGTTTTTACATTGTAACTTGAACTATTTGAATTCTACATTAATTTCTTCAGTGAATCAACTTGGACAGCCAGAAGATTTAATGTTTCTTTTTTTATACTTTAGAAACATGTTTTGAATTGGCAGAGTGTTTAAATAAGGCTTAAATACATGTTGACAACTAAGTGTTGTGTTGTAAAAATTCAATGTGTGTGTCAGTGAAACACTGTTTTGTTGATTGGTATACTTTATAAATTAGTATAGGTGTTTTTGTTTTAATTGAAGAACCCAATATATCAGGGATGATTAATAAGCCAAATAAATTTGGTTCTAGCATTTGTGTCACAAACTTCATTTCACTTTATACTCTGACCTAATATGAATAGTTATTTGACTTCAATTCATTTAGTGTAGATAAACAGTTTACTCACTGAAATTGCAGAGAATCATACATAAAGTGAATTATGTAAGTTAATCTAACTTGAATAGAAAATTGTGGGCAAATAACACTTTTATAAAATGTTCTGTTTAATTTATATAAGATTTAGATTATTTTTGAAGTACCAGCAGTCCTTGACTTAATAAGGGACCTATGAAATAACTTTTCTATCAATGGTAATTTCTCCTTTTTCTTCCCTGCTCCCACTAGAAATTTCCTTTAATATCTGTTGCATATGAGTTGTACAGTCTTGATCTGTGAAAATGAGCATGGATTATAGTTTCATTTTAATATCTGTTACTAGAAACATTGAAATTTCTAAGTTTAGTTGAAAAATTGGGAATAAGGCATGTTAAGGTAATTTTGATTTTTAAATGCAGCATTCAAAGATGAGAATTTGTCAGTTACGAAGGACCAGATGAGGTTAATACTCTATCAATGCGTTCCATGYACACATCTTTTTCCTCTGCTAGGAAATTCTGCAGCCTTTTGATTATCAATCCTTGGCCATTAGCAAGAAATGCAAAGCCTATGATCTCCCACCCTAAGATACTCTTTCTACTGCTAAAAATTTTTGATAATATTCAAATGTTCTGGGGGAGTGGGGGCACTGGGGTTGTGGCTGAGTGGTAGAGCTCTCGCCTGGCATGTGTGAGGCTCTGGATTTGATCCTCAGCACCACATATAAATAAATAAATAAAATAAAAYGTATTATGTCCAAAGGTATTATGTAAAAAATATACATAAAAAAATCAAATGTTTCTTCATAAGTCTGTTGTTGTGTCTGGAGGGAAAAAGAACCGTTTTTGCTCTAAAATACCTGAGAATGTAGTCAGAAGTGTAAATTTTTAAAATGTTATTCCATAGAAATAATGGAAAGCTGTTAGTTTCCAGTGGATCATGACAGACCCAAGCAGTATTGTATTTCATGTGTATGGATTCAGAGTTCTAAACAATAAACTCCAGAAATGACAAACAAAACAAACAACGAAAAAATGGCCTTTTAAAAATGACCTGTGTGTAACAGCTATTTTTTAATGTAAACMGAACTTTATTTTTTAGTAGTTGCTAACATAGCACTTAATGTAAGTCAGGCACCATACTAATTCCTTTACATATATTCATACCATCCTTATAGCAATCCTGTAAAGTAGGTAGTATTATTATTTCACAGATGAGAAAACCAAGGCACCAAGGTTAAATTTGTGACTAACTTTCCCCAAGATCACACAACTGGGGTGTTATTTAAACAAAATAACCACATTCCAGAGTTGTACTTTGACAATGGTGACATCTTCTTTCCAGTAAGCATGCAATGTGCTTTCTTTGGGTGACTTCAGAAAAGGAAATTTATTTTGATAAACTTATCAGGCATTTTG